CCCCAAGATGATGTGGTCGATGCACGTGGCCAAGATCCAGAGTGACAGGGAGTACAAGAAGGACTTTGAGAAGTCCAAGACCAGGTTCAGCAGCCCCGTGGACATGCTGGGAATTGTGCTGGCCAAGAAGTGCCAGCAGCTGGTGAGCGACGCAGACTACCGGCACTACCTGCACCAGTGGATCTGTCTGCCCGACCAGAACGACGTGATCCACGCCAAGCAAGCCTACGACCTCCAGAGTGATGTGAGCAAATCCTTACATTTGTAGTACAGTATTTCTGCAATACATTAATTCTGTAATACAAAATAAAGTACTCCGTACAATCCGTACACAATAAAGTACTCTTGCACAATCTAATTTTTCAAATATGGATTATAAGGCTCTAGTCGCTTGCATCAGACTTGTTGAGATGTTTTCATTCTTTCATCAAATTTATGTTTAATCCTATTTTTTCAGTTCTTCATCTGATAATAATTTGACAGAATTTCACACAATATTTTGGCGTAATTTGACACAATATTTTGACATAATTTGACACAATAATTTGTGTCTTAATCTGACAATAATTCGTGTGTTACTCTGATATTAGCATTGTTAGCACATTAGCATTACCTGCAATACCCCTTTTCTTTTTCTTATTTAATAACTATTTTACTTAACCTTCAAAACCAAGAATTGTTTTCAGAACTCTTTCCTCAGAAACATACCCAGTTGTTCATATAGGAGGTGCTTGTTTATATTTATTTTACTATTCGATCACACTTGCACGTATGTAACAGACTTTCAAATCTTTTTCAGGCTGTTTACAAATCAGACCTGGAATGGCTGAGAGGCATTGGATGGGTTCCTATTGGTTCCGTGGAAGTTGAGAAAGCCAAGAGAGCTGGAGAAATCCTCAGTGACAGGAAGTATCGGCAACCTGCAGACAAAATCAAATTTACCAGCGTGACTGATTCCTTGGCCATGGTCTTAGCCAAGCAGAATGCTGAGATCATGAACAAGGTGAGGGTGGTGGTGCCAGTTAATAGCACTTGTTCCTGAGGTGAAAAATTAAAAATACAAAGTAAAACTAAAAACTTGTGTATTTAAGAGAAAATCAATATCTAAATTCAGCCATTGCACAGGAAAGCTTCTTCTCTCGGGGCTCAGTGTGAAGTGAGCAGTTGGTAAAAATCTTCAGACAAAAGTCCCTTCAATCACAGATTTTCCAAGAGTACTACTGCATGATGAAAAAGTGATGAGGAAATACCTGAAGTTCTCTGGATGTGAAAGTGCTGCAGCATATCTCAGATCTGGAGGGTGAAAGTCACTAAGTGCCTCCTCCTTTATAACAAACATAATCAAACGTTTTATACAGAATAATTAATACACTTTTCCTCCTATGGCTGTTTCTCCACAATCCAAAATCAATCAATTGCTGCACCAGCTTAACCTGAGAAATAATGAGGAGGGATAAAGTTTCTTTCTTGAGCTGTTCAGAGAGAAGCTTTGCTGAGTCAGGGTATTAGAGCTTACTGGAGCTACCACAGCAGTTTGTAAAATAATTGTAATTGTAAAATAATTTCATAAAGAACTGTTTGTAAAGGGCTGTTTTCCTCTCTCCTAGCGCTTGTACACAGAAGCCTGGGATGCAGACAAGAAGTCCATCCATGTCATGCCTGACACACCTGACATTCTGTTAGCAAAGGCCAACGCAGCCAACGTTAGCAAGGTAAGGATATTTTAAACATTTACCAAACTAGTGGAAATTCAGAGCTAAGTCAGCATTTCTTTAATCATAAAGATGTTCTAAAATACGCATTCGTGAAAATTTTGAGAGACAGTTATGAAATGTAGAAATCCCATTTTTCAGAATATTGATAAGCCATTTTCTGTCTTCTTTTGTGTAGAAACTTTATGTAAAAGCCTGGGAAGAGGCCAAAAAGAAGGGTTATGACATGAGAGCTGATGCGATTCCAATCAAAACCGCAAAGGCTTCAAGAGATATTGCAAGTGACGTATGTTCTTCCTTTACATTTATTTTCAGTTACCTTAAAAACAAGAATATGCACTTTTGTGATCAGTAGCGATAGGAAATTATGGGGCTTTCATCCCAGATTCACTTCTTTTTGTATTTTCAGTACAAGTACAAAGAAACCCACGAGAAGCAGAAAGGCCACTACATCGGGTGCCCCAGCGCCAAGGAGGACCCCAAGCTGGCGTGGGCCGCGCGCGCCATGGCCCTGCAGAACGACCGCCTCTACAAGAAGGCCTACAATGATTCCAAGACCCAGATCCACATCCCTGTGGATGCCCTGTCGGTGCAGGCAGCCAAGGAGTGCCAGACCCTGGTCAGTGACGTTGACTACAGGCAGTACCTGCACCAGTGGACCTGCCTTCCTGACCAGAACGACGTGATCCACGCGCGGCAGGCCTACGACCTCCAGAGCGACGTGAGTGACAATCACTGTAGGAAAGTTTTAGGGCAGCTGTGTGAGGCTCTGTTTGTTAGTGACTGGCAAATATACCTTCAAATGCACATTCATGACCCTGCACTCGGTCCTGGTATGTCTATTTTATCCTTTCCAAAGGATTTCAGCCTGAGTGCCAGAAATATTTGGGGCTGTTCATAAGGAAGCCATGTTCTCTTGGGCTGCTCTAGAATGTTTGCCTGCAGACTACTTGCAGATTATGCCCCTGGTTCGAATGCAGTGTTTTAAAAGTGTCATTGTTTCTCTGCAAACCAGGGGTGCTGTGTCTAGAAAGGAGCTGATACAACATGGCGTCACTGGCTGCTTGTTGCGTAGAGTACGAGAAGGAGTTGGGGAAAGGCTTGTAAAAAACCTTCTTGCACTTAGAGTTAAAACTACAGAATCCTAAAATGGTTTGGGTTGGAAAAGATCATTTTAGTCCAACTCTGTCCCTGCCATGGGTATGGGACACCTTCCACTAGACCTGGTTATTCAGAGCCTCATCCAGACTGGCCTTGAACATCTCCAGGGACTGAGAGTCCACCAGCTCTCTGGGCTACTTTATCTCTGCAATGCCACTAACCCTTGGTTCGTTTGTAGAACGTGTACAAGTCCGACCTGGAATGGCTGCGAGGCATTGGCTGGCTGACAGAAGGTTCTGTGGATGTGGTCAAAGCCAAGAAAGCTCAGGAGCTCCTCAATGACCGCTTGTACCGCACGCGGCCGGAGCAGCTGAAGTTCACCAGCATCACTGACTCCCCAGATGTTGTCCTGGCCAAGACCAACGCCATGCAGCTCAGTGATGTAAGCTCTCCATCCACTTGTGGGATGACATTTCTTTTCTTTCTGGTGGGCAGTAAAATTTCTGTGGTGGGAATGACGAGTTGGGAAGTTTTGCAAATTGGAATTACTAAAGAATTCCTTTTGGTGTTTTTTTTTTCACCATACTGAATTGCCATGGTTCCTCCTTTCTCCTCAGCGTCTGTATCGTGAGGCCTGGGATAAAGACAAGACCCAGATCTCCCTCCCTTCGGACACTCCTGTCATGCTGCAGTCCAAAGTCAACGCTGTCAACATCAGCAATGTAAGAGAGTAACATGAAATATTTGTGAAGTGCTAGAAAATGAAGCCTGGCAATTGTTCTTCCAGTTTTTGCTGTAAATGGTGGTGTACAAACCCACTTTCTAATGTGCTTGTAAACAGGAAATTACATCCAGAGGCTTTTTATCAGCTCTCAGCCTATCAACAGGTTGTGTGTTCATCAGTAAACTCCCAAGCTCAGTGTGCAATTCCATACCACTCCTGCTCCCTTTGGCAAAACCTGCCAAATACCTTCCATGGAGGAGTTGTTGGAGTCTGCAGACATAGTGGTCTGTCTTCAGGAATATTTCTGGTGCCCCTTTGTGTTTTAATCTCGCACCTGTTTAAGTCATGAGTTTTCTGTTGCCAAGATCATTATTGTAACTCTGCCAGTTACAGGAAGCAAACAGAGATCCCAAGCTGGTCATTCCAGGAAAGCAGGTTTTTAGAGAAGGCATTTCACTATGTTTAACGAAGGTGATTAATTTTCTCTACAGAAACATTATCAGAAGGCCTGGGATGAAGCCAAAGCAAAAAGCTATGACCTGAGAGCTGATGCCATTCCCATCAAACAAGCCAAGGCCTCCAGAGACATTGCCAGTGAGGTACAGCCTTCTCTTCGTTTGGTGCTTGTCTGTCAGCATAACCGAGTGAAGCTCAGGCTGGCAGCCCAGGAAGCAGGAAGCCTTTTGTCTGGTGGTTGTGTCCAGGTGAGCAACACACGTTCTCTTCTCTCTGCTCTTCCAGTACAAGTACAAAGAAACCCACGAGAAGCAGAAAGGCCACTACATCGGGTGCCCCAGCGCCAAGGAGGACCCCAAGCTGGCGTGGGCCGCGCGCGCCATGGCCCTGCAGAACGACCGCCTCTACAAGAAGGCCTACAATGATTCCAAGACCCAGATCCACATCCCTGTGGATGCCCTGTCGGTGCAGGCAGCCAAGGAGTGCCAGACCCTGGTCAGTGACGTTGACTACAGGCAGTACCTGCACCAGTGGACCTGCCTTCCTGACCAGAACGACGTGATCCACGCGCGGCAGGCCTACGACCTCCAGAGCGACGTGAGTGCCCATAGAGATGTGCAGTTGTACTCTTGCTATTTAATAGATAATAGCCTTATTCTGATTGTTCAATGCTATACAGTCACAACAGATTAATTAACAGTTAGACTGTTTTCTTAAGTTTTTTTGTGACTGCTATTACATGATTTTTTTACACTCTTAAAAGGCACTGATTTTTATCTCTAAATTTTATAAAACTTGATAATGTGTCGCATAATGCTTTTGGACAGGTGTGATTTGGAGAGGCTGAAGGATTTGTCTTTCTTGCTTTGATGGGACTTAGGAATAACTGCTGTTTGCTATCTCGGAATCAGGTGGCTTTTGTTCAGTTTGCTTGAGTCAGCTTGGAAATTTGTTTAATTGGAAGAAAACTCTGTGAGGTAGCTAGTTAGAGATTTTAGTGGCTGATTGCAAAGCAGGAGGAGTCAGAGTAGCTGATTTCCTGACCTGGCTTTGCTGATTATCCATTCCTCTTCCACTGTTTCAATTACAAGCTTTGGAGATGGGATTCCTGTTCCTTGCTTTTTGTCAATTTTCCTGGTAGGTAGCTTGGGGTTTTTTCAGGACTTGAAAACCACTGGAATGACTAGTGGAATAAGTGTTTTGGAGGGGACAGGAAGACTCTTCTAAGCTTTTAACATTCATCATCATTAACTGCAACTCCTGTCAGTTGTTTCTTCTTACAAGGTTTAGAATATGTTGTTTAAGACCTGAACTACTTAATTTAAATTAATTTTAGATTTAACTTTACTTACGACACTGAACATCTCATGTATATAAAAAGGATTCACCTGACTCTAGTTAGGTTTATAAAACACAATCTGCTTTGCATGGCTTAAAATAATTAAGATAATAATTCTAAACAATGTTTTCCTTTTCTGATTGTGTCACCCAGGCTGTGTACAAGTCAGATCTAGAGTGGCTCCGTGGAATTGGCTGGTTGCCCAACGACTCTCCAGAAATTAAGAGGGTGAAGAATGCCCAGGATCTCCTGAGTGACAACGTGTATCGGACCCCCATTGACAGTGTGAAATACACCAGTGTTGTGGATTCCCCAGATGTTGTTCTGGCCAAAACCAACGCTGAACAGATCAGCATTGTACGTTCCAACCTCCTCAAAGCTGCTTCCACACCAGAAACTAAAGCTAATGGGAAATCTCACTGCTGAGATATAAAACTGATCAGTGGTGTTTTAAGTTTAATGCTTTTCCAAATGTTTTACTCTTTAGAGATGATAGTTTGGGAGAGATTTATGGGATTTTATGTTATTGATAAATGAAATTCCATAATTCTGATGATATTATGAAATTTCTGTTTTAACAGCCAAAATATAAAGAAGCCTGGGAAAAGGACAAGACTATGATCCACATCATGCCAGACACACCTGAAATCAACCTAGCCAAGGCTAACGCTGTTAATTACAGCCAGGTATGTTTATCATTCTCTTTTCTCTAAAATACGATGTGAATTATGTAATCCTAAGATGTTGAATCTCTTTGAATCTCACTGAAGTCTGTCTTCATACAGGGCTTGTGACATTCCCTTCCATCTATCAAATATCCTTAAAGTATTCAGCTGTTTTAAAATAAATACTTACGTTCAGCTATTTAAAAATTAGAAATATCATGCCCCACTGAGGGAATATTTTATTGAAATGGATGAGAATCCAAGGCATATAAATATTTTTTTACACTTTTACAAACTCCCTTCTGTGCTTTATAGGTTGCACAGCTTGTGCTGCATGTTTCAGAGGCAGCTGCATTTATGGTTGGGAGCAGGAGTGCTCAAAAAATTTCATGGTATTTCAGCAAATAAATGTCTGGAAACTCTGTTTTTATAATGGCAAATGCCAGAGCATTCAGCATGTGTGTGATGTTTTCTCTGTCTTTTCAGAAACAATATAAAGGAGCTTGGGATGAGGTGAAGATGAGCTATGATTTGAGAGCAGATGCAATTCCAATCAAGACAGCCAAGGCTTCTAGAGAGATTGCCAGTGATGTAAGTGCCAAAAGAGGCATTTCCCATGCTCCAGGAGCTCTTTCATGCTAGCTGTTACTAATGGTGACCTCTGCTCTTGCCCCAGTACAAATACAAGCTGGAGCACGAGAAGCAGAAGGGACACTACGTGGGAGTGCCGAACGCAAAGGGAGATTCCAAAATCCAGTTTGCGCTGGACGTAGCCAAAGTTCAGAGCGAACGAGAGTACAAGAAGCACTTTGCCAAGCAGAAGACCCAGTGCCACCTGCCAGTGGACATGATGTCCATTGTGGCAGCCAAGCACGGGCAGACCCTGGTGAGCGACGCCGATTACCGGCACTACCTGCACCAGTGGATCTGCCTCCCCGACCAGAACGATGTCATTCATGCCAGGCAAGCCTACGACCTCCAGAGCGATGTAAGTTCACCTGAAACACCCCTTAAACACCTCTTAACACAGTTCTGTGTTGCCTCTTCTTATTCTGCTTCAGCTCTAAGGAGTGGGAATCTTTTCCTGAGTTCAGGGAACTCACCTTGCTCTTTGCTAGAGTTGCAAAGTATAGGCCACTTATAAATTGCCATGTTTGAAGGGTGATAAATTCAGATTTAGTGCTCATGTTGGAATTACTGCTCCCCTTTTAACCACTGGAAGTAAATTCTTTTGTTTGTGAATCTTGCTGGATCGTACAGGGAAGTGTAACTAAGAGCATGGACCCTGTTTTGTTTTGTTTCCCCAGGCTGTTTATAAAGCTGATTTGGAATGGCTGCGGGGAATTGGATGGTTGCCAAATGATTCCCTTGGAGTCAAGCATGTCAAATATGCTGGAGATCTCCTGAGTGAGGTAACCAAGTGTTTTTCAATACTAAAATTTTCTTCAGGGCTATTTGTCACTCAAAGTATTTTAAATGGTTTAAACTATGAGATTTTAAATGAAAAATGGAATTGCAGTATTTTCACAATATTCAATGTGTATGGAGAGGTTTTTCTCCACAAGAAATTCCTTGTCTTGTGTATCTATTCAGAATTGCTGTACTAGGCATCAAATATTCTGGGGTAATCTCTTCTTCCTTTTGTTGTACAGAGAAAGTACCGCACAAAAGCTGAAACTCTCCCGTTCACTCCCGTGGCCGACAGAGTTGATTATGTCACAGCAAAGAATAGCACTGAAATCCGCAGTGATGTAAGTTTGCTCTCAGTGTCTGGGCTGCATTTGACTTCTGTAATTCTGTATTTAATGTGCTTTTTCTAATGGCCTTGCAAATTCAAGGGTTGGTTCATAATTGTATGTGTAAATTATGGTGTTTTCCCAGTTCTGTGGTGGTGCTACAAGGCAATCATTTCTTTCTGTGTCCTAGATTAAATACCACAAAGAATGGAACGAGACCAAGGCAAATTATACACTCACAGATACACCACAACTGGATATGGCCCGAGAGGCAGCCAGAATTCTAAATCAGGTATGTGGTCTCTCCTTGAGAGCTTCTACTCACATTTTTTTAGGTATTTAAAAAACCTGCCTTATTGATAACAACCGGAAGGAAGGATTTGTTATCCTTATACTTCTATACAAATTGCATGCATACAGTAATGGTTATCATTGTAGTAGTGTTGAATTCCTCATGACTTTTATTTCCCACAGAATTTATACAAGGAAAGCTGGGAAAAAGAAAAAGCCACTGGTTACCTCCTGCCTCCTGACACAATACAGATCTCTCATGCCAAGCACTCAAGTGATGTCCAAAGTGAGGTAAGGATTTTTCTCATTAGGAAGATGAGTGCTTGAAAGCCTGAAATGTTAAAGGCCTTGAAAATTCCTAAACAGACTTAAAAAGCTTTCCACCTGGGGTAACATCCAGACTTTCCATGGCCTATGAATTCCACTGTTCTCCAAATAATTCAGTCATCTTTGTGATTATGGGGTTTGGAGTGCTGAAGGTCAGATTCCTTCCACATTGACTCTTTCCAGAAACAGTCCTTTCAAAATCAACTGAGCTGGACTTGCGTATTTTATAAATGTTAAATAATTGAAGTGATACTATGATTATAACATATAGGGCTCTGATTTCACTTTTTGGCCTATCAAAACCTGTAGGCCAGTACACACTTTACATTTTAAACATTTGCATAATGGATCATGAAATTATTACATGACTCTTATTTGGAATAAACATTTTGTCAAAGCAGTGTGATGTAAATACTGTAAATAAGCATCCACTCTTAAAACAATCTCAATTTGTTGCCAAAATGAGACTGAATGTGCTTGTTAGGAAACATTTTCTAGCAAGTCTTTCCTCTTGTGTTAACAATAGGTTTTACTGAAAATTGGGAGTATATTAGACTAGAAGATGCTATATTTTGAACTGGAAAGCCCATACAAAGTAATATTATTGTTTGTGACCAGATTTTGGTCGTGTACTGAAAACCTAAGGCTGCATTTGACAACTCCCTGTCTCATCTGCTTTTTGTGTCGACAAACCTGAAGCCATTCCCAGGTTAAACCAGAGTGGATACAGCCAGTGCTGATTTTCTCTGTGTTTCTCCCCTCTCCCACCAGCTGAAGTACAAAGCTGAGTATGTCAAGCAGAGAGGTCACTATGTGGGAGTTGCCAAGATGAGAGATGACCCCAAGCTGGTGTGGTACGAGCACGCGGGCGAGATCCAGAACGACAGGCTGTACAAATCAGACTACAACAAAACCAAGTCCAAAATCCACATGCCTTCGGATGCCATGGCAGTTGTGGCAGCCAAGGAGTGCCAGAACTTGGTCAGTGACGTTGACTACAGGCAGTACCTGCACCAGTGGACCTGCCTTCCTGACCAGAACGATGTGATCCATGCGCGGCAGGCCTATGACCTGCAGAGTGATGTGAGTGATGGTGCAGCCTTCCAGGTCCTTTCCACCTGGTCTGGCCTAAGGATATTGCCCACAGCACATAATCCATCCTGAGGTCAGTAATTTCTGTCCTTTTGCATTGTCTTTCTGATTTAGAACATCTATAAGGCTGATTTGGAGTGGCTTCGTGGCTGTGGTTGGGTCCCTCTCGATTCAGTGGAGCATAAGAAAGTTAAGAATGCACAGGAACTGATAGACAAGGTAAAGAGAAAATATTTCAGCAGTTCCATGATTAGCAATTCTTTCTCATGCACAGTGTTTAAGACATTATTTCACCTCTTTGCAGAGAGCATACACTAAAGAAGCCCTGGAGAACTTTTCCAAATACACAAGCGTGGTTGACACTCCTGAGATCGTTTTGGCAAAGATGAACTCTGTCAATCAGAGTGACGTATGTACCTTTTTTATTAAATAAAAATTCATATAGAAGAATTAGTAGATTATTTAATTGCTTTTGCTTTCCAGGGGTAAACAAGTAAGAAGTCTTATGAATGAACAACATGATATTGTCATCCAAATAATTTAACATTTTCCTGTTGGAGAAGATGGCATGCCCTGACTTAGAGTTTGCATAGATTTTTCCTATAGTAGTTGAAAACTGAGTCCTGTTCTTGATGAACAGTTCGTGGAGTTCCTGGTGTTCCTAAAGTGTACTTGCTGAGCAGTATCTTAAATTTTTCAAGAGTCCATGTGGATTTTTAGGTGACACAGTAACATTTGCCTGTGTCTTACAGTGGTTGGAATGTCCTACACAAGGTTATTACATTATGACACAAGAGAAAATAAATGTCTACTACTTATAGATGGACTAATGGGAATAATGTGTTTCTCCTGTGGAATTAACTGTGTTTGTTTTCTTTTGCAGCTAAAATACAAAGAAACTTTTAACCAGGAGAAAGGCCAGTACATTGGGTCTGATGATACTCCTGCTCTGCACCATGCCAAAGACATGGCCTTGCTCCACAGTGAGGTGAGATCCCATAAATATCAACCTTTGAAAGCCACAGAGTGTAGGGTGGACTTGAGGAGCTGTTCCACTCTCAGCAGTGGCACTGGGAAGGTTATTTAATCCCTTTTTTCTTCAGCTTTCCCATTTGGATTGTTGGAATCAGGGTGATTTCTTTCCTTATTGAAGTGGTCTCAAAGGACAGCTGTGTGGTGCTTGGAAGTCATAATAGTGTGTCAAAACCAAATGTAATTCCATCCAGTAATATCTTCTGAGACTACTGATAAATTTTACATTTACTTTTTTTATAAGAAATCGAAAGTGTAGATGATTTACGTTATTAACCAGTTACTTTTGAGTACTCTCACTGATTGTAATGAGAAACTCCTATTTTTTAAAAATAGAAGTGATTACTCATTCATGTGAGTAGGCACTTCATAATTTAATCTGAAGGTGAATATATTTAATATTTAACAAAATAAGTATTAGAAAAGTGCCATTGACACTGTTTCTTTAATAAACACCGATATTTCTTGAAGACTTTTCACAATTTTGATTATCTATAAAATTATCTTCTATAATTATCTATATTATATATAATATAGATATATATTTTATGTATCTATATATATTTATATATTTATATTATATATAAATAGATATATATTTTTATATCTATATATATTTATATATATATATATATTATATATAATGTAGATATATATTTATATGATATCTATTTATAGATAATATATTATCTATAAAAACACTTCTATACTGTACTTTTAAACCAGAGTTCATATCTATAGTTTGGATATTTTTACTACTCTTCTGATATAAATATAATAAAGAAAGCAGAAATCAGCTCAAACTTGTGCTCAAGTAACTTCCTGAAGTGAACACCTGTCCTGTTTGTCTTATACTAAATGACTGTTCAAAACAAACATCCTCCATTTAATTTATTGGGAACCACTGTAAAAATAAAAATTAAATTAAAAGTAAAAATTCTGTGTTCCATGTCATATCCCCTGTGTGTATAAATGGGAAATAGAATTGATTTTTTCATTAAAATCTGCATGTGCTGTGTTTGTCTAGAAACATTACAAGAAGGCTTGGGAGCTGAGCAAGCCCATTGGATACACTCTGGATGAGAAATACGTTCCACTCGTGGGAGCCAAACATGCAAACCACATCAACAGTGAGGTCAGGAGGGATTCCCCATTCTTTCCCTTTCTCCCCCCCCAATATGTTGTTGGAATGAACATTAAAATTCCCACGTGAATATTTTTGCAGCTTAAATATAAGGAAATATATGAGAAGCTGAAAGGCCATTACCTGGCTGGGAAGGATATTGGTGATTTCCCCAGTGTCATTCATTCCCGGGAATTCCAGAAAATGAGGAGCGCGGTAAGGAATGAACGAGTCTGGAATATTTTCCATTTGTTTTGTTTCACCATTTATTTCACTGATGAAAGTCACTATTTCATTACTTGAACATAAATAAGGCAAAGCTTAATAGAGCTGTAGAATCACAGGATCATTAAGGTTGGAAAAGGCTTCCAAAATCAAGTCCAGCCTTAATATAAATCCACAGTATTATCAGTAAAAGTAATTTCAACATGTTTCTATTTCCTGAATGCTTATTTTATATGTGAGTTTAATAATTGAATTTTAAATTATTTAGGAGATTGAAAAGGGATTTGTTTAGCTATTAGAAAAACTACAGTAAGGAAAAAAAAACCACACCTTTTTCTGTTTCAGTCTAAGGACCTGAGCAGTAAAAAATACCATGTGTGATTAATTTCCTTCACAAATAAAGGAAATTATTTTTGAGATCTTTCAGATTTTGAGTTGAAGTAGGAATTTAAGTATTTGAAAATTAAATGTACATTTTGTGTGTTGCTGTTGTCAGCACTGCACATACAATGTGTCATGCAGAGCATAAAATCAGTGTAATCCCAAATATTCTATCTTTAATTAGATGAAAACCATTTGTGGAGCATGAGTTTTTTAACCCTGAAGACTTGTTAGTTTTCTAATCAGCTGTTAAACTGCGAGTGAAGGTCATTGTTGTCCTTCCAGAACTTCATAAAAATAAAAGGTGATTAATATCCAAGTTAAGATTTCTATCCTGTTGAATCCCATGGGAGCTTAGCTATTAAATCCAGAAAACACATCTCAGACTACACTGTCACCTTTTAGTCCAAAATCCAAAGTTATACAGAAAATCACTTTTATTTCCTCTCACCTTTTCCCCAATCTTTGCTTTTCAGCTGGCCTACAGGAAGAATTATGAAGACACCAAGAAAAATGTCCATATTCCAACGGACATGATGAACCACGTCCTGGCCAAGAAGTGCCAGTACATCCTCAGTGATCTGGAGTACCGCACGTACTTCCACCAGTGGAGCTGTTCACCTGAAGAAAACGATGTTATTCACGCCAGGAAAGCCCAGGAGATTCTGAGTGATGTATGTTTATTATTTATTTAGAGCCATGGAATAGGCTGGGTTGGGAGGTCATCCAGTCCATCTCCTGGCCCTGAACAGGACACCCCAAAAGTCCCATCAGGAGTCTGAGGGCATTGTCCAAACCCTTCTAAACTTATGTGAACTTATTGAACCTATTTGTTTGACATTATAGCAGCCTTTCCCATCATTTTTTTCCCAAGTATCTTCCCTAATATTCAAACACAAAATTAATAACCGGCTTTAAATATTAAATTTTTAAATAATGTGAAATTAATAATGGCTTAAGGTTCTTAGTACCAATCACTGCAGTGATCCTTCTCTGTTGTAATTGGGAATGCTGGAATTAGCAGGGGGGCCAGGACAGCATCCAGAATCCTTCTGGATCCAGTGGGTCTGGAAAAGAATTCCCCTTGTTTGTTGGGGTTGTATCAGCCCACGGCTGAGAGAACGGTGCTCGTATTCTGCAGTCAGTGGTGTCTCAGCTTGGGCCAACCAACCTTCCCAATAAATCCGAGGGTGTGTTAATTGTGTGGCTTAGTAGGATGCACAATTCCTTGGTTTAATTGGCAGAAGGAAAATTTCTTCCTAACCTAATGTTCTGTTCACTTCCATGCAGTCTGTGTATAAAGATGACCTGAACTGGCTGAAGGGACTTGGATGTTACGTCTGGGATACTCCACAGATCCTACAGGCTAAGAAATCCTATGACCTGCAGAGCCAGGTAAGTTTCCCTTAAATAAACATTTATGTGTTTCTTACATTTATGATTCATTGGGGCTGACATGTCCTAGTCCAGAGCAGAATGAAGTAATTCCTGTTACATCAGAAGTATTTTGTTTAAATTGTGAAAATACAGTCTTGAAGTTGCTTCTGTAGAGACATCACTTGTGTTATTTGAGGAGGAGAAAGTAAAGACAGCTGTGTTTTTTTAATTTCATTATTCCTTAATTCATACTGGCTGTATATTAAGTATTTCTGTTTTACGACCTGTCGCTTTCAGAGTTGATTTTAACTGAGCTGTAATCTTTTATTTCAGCTGTCCAGATATGATTTTAAAGGAAGCTGGCAGGGAATTTCCAGGTAATTTTCAGCACTAATGGGTATTTTGTTGGTTTTGTGTCCTTAGATAAAATACACCTCTGCAGGGAAGGAGAACTTCCAGAACTTCAGTGTGGTTACAGACACTCCTGTCTATGTGACTGCTCTGCAAAGTGCTGCCAACGCCAGTGAGGTGAATCCCCACCTTTTCTGCTCAGGACTGTCCTTCTGAGCATTGAAACAATCCTCTAAACCCAGCTTTCATCTTCCAGGTGAAATACAAGGAGGAATTCCAAAAAACTAAGGACAAGTACACAACTGTGGCTGACACAGTGGATTCAGAAAGAGTTCAGAGTTTGAAACATCTCTATAGTGATGTAAGTGTTTATACACAATTGTTTTTCTCTTAAGGATCTTCAAGGTGGGATTTTTGTTTTATTTTGTTTGTTCACTCTGTTTGAAGATAAACATCCAAACCAGGAGTTTCTCAAAGCTGGTGCTCTGTACTACCTGAGCTTCAGGGAGGTGTTGTACTTCAGGCAAGGGCCATATTTTCCAACTGTAATGCCAGTCTTGGCAAAACACCTGGATTAATAAACAGATTCCCTGAATAAAATTACACCTGAACAAAATTAAAACCTCATATGAGAACAGACATGAATAGAAGGGATTTCTATCAACCTTTACATGCACTTGATATCAAGTATCACTTAATATCTTCTTTACAATACTTTGTGGTGTCTAAATAAAAGCAAAAGGGCTTTTGATTTCTATTGGGTGTTGGTAATTATTTACAAGAATTGATTTTCCACTCACAAAAACTTTCTATTTCCCCACAGAATCTCTACAAGAAGGCCTGGGATAAAGTGAAGGCCACCAGCTATGCACTGCCCCCAGATGCTGTAGCCTTGGCACGTGCCAAAGAACTGAAGCACAATGCAAGCATTGTAAGTGAATTCAATTCTTTATTTTTTTTTATCAGATCATCTTTTTTAACAACTAAATCCTTCATGCCATGCATCTAGTATAGATATTTATATTTTTTAAACTTTAATTTACTTTTCCTTTTTAATTGAGATCTAATATGTATCTGTAGATAATGTTTTTTTCTCTGATAGTCATTTGGGTAACAGTCCTTTGTGGCTTCTTGCCATGGGAAAAAAAAAAAGTCAATTTTTATAGTAATCCAAACTGAAAATGTTAGAGTTTTTCTAGTCTAAGTTTCATGAGCATTCAGGTCAGAAAAACACCAAAAATCTTTAAATGATGCTCAGTAAAACAGAAAACATCTTATGCTTTACTGAAGCTGGAATTAAGAGAGACAACTCCACAGATCCCTTTAAATGAAACAGCTGGAACAACAAATAAGTGCCTTCTTCTTCATCTACTGATTTTTAAAATACTCTCATCAGCTGTTGTTTTACAACCTGATTATTATGATGTGCTTTCTTTGCCATTTAAGACAAAAAAATAAAGGTAAAATCCTGCTTTAAAGCCTTTTCTCTACTTGTTGGAATCAACTTTTTGCTTAATGATGATTAATTTTGTTCCAAAACCACAACTGACTCATTGGAGTCAGTTAATTGTTGCATTTCCTTGCTTGTGCTCAGGTCAAATACCGTGAGGAGTATGACAAGTTCAAAGCCCTGTACACCCTCCCCAGAGGTGTTGAGGATGATCCCAATACGGAAAGGTGCCTCAGGGTTGGGAAGCTCAACATCGATGTAAGTGCTGGTTCTGGATGTGTGTTTTCCTGATAAAGCCATACTTACCTCAAAAGCAGCCACTCAAAGAATCCACGTGCCTTGATCCAGACATCCCATTCCCAACTGCATTTGGCAGAGTGCAGTATTTCCTAAATTCCAGAATACGACCATAAATTTCAGTTTTAACTCAATTCCTGCATTGTCTGCATGGCCAAACCTTTAGTGTAATATGGGAAAAATCCTCATCTGCCTCCTTTTAGCTCATCAGCGCAATGAAAATTGAACAAATCACATTTTACCTCCCTTGCTGAGGTTCTGCAAATTATTTTTAGAGCAGGCCAGATGTACATTTTAGTCACGGCCAAAGCGATCGCTCTCGCACTGACATCCCATGAAAACAGCAACGGTTTCCTCCAAATTTAGCAACAATTTGTGCTGCAGCTTTATGAAAGCGTTGCTTTAACTCCACAGCGTCTGTACAAAGAGACCTATGAGAAGACCAAAGCCAAGGTGCACATTGTCCCAGACATGGTGGACATCATCTCAGCCAAGGATGCCCAGAAGAAGATCAGCGAGGTCGATTATCGCACGCGGCTCCACGAGTGGATCTGCCTGCCCGACCTGCAGGTCAACACCCACGTGAGAAGAGTCACCGACCAAGTCAGTGATGTGAGTCCCCAAATCACTTGTTCCTGGCTCACTTTGGAGAACATTCCTTTGTTTGTGCTCTGTTGGAGGAAATTATTAAGAAAAATATCGCTGGAGCGCTCTGAAGTTGCCACTTGACTTCATTTTTGTGGCACTTGGCAATAAATGGGTCACTGAGATGGAGCTTAGGTGAATAGAGTCAGAAAATCCCAGAATGGTTTGGGTTGAAAAGGACCTTAAAGCTCATCCAGTTCCACTCCCTCCCATGGGACACCTTCCACTATCCCAGGCTGCTCCAACCTGGCCTTGAACATTTCCAGGGATGGCGAGTCCACAACCTCTGTGCAACAACTTCAATAATTTCAGTATTGATAGTGCAGGCATTTGGGTCATAATTATAATCATTAATTACAGTTCTACCCTGTCTGTAAATTGTCCTTTATTTGGTTGCATGAGGTGTGGAGACTTTGGAAATCTGTGCAAATCCTGGTTGGGTGAAGCTTGTCTTGAGCAGGTCAGCCCAGGAGTAGGATCTGGCAGTAAATCAGTGTCCAGTAGGATGTGCAGGTGGTTTTTTTTAAAAAAAAAATATTAGATTTTTAATTTATTGCCCAAACTGAAGCAAATTGAAGAAAAATTTCTTAAATTCCAGGAGAAATTGTTTTTATTTTCCTCAAAACAAAAAAAACAAACAAAACAACCCCCAAACCAAAACAAAAAAAACCAAACCCTGAAAACAAAAAAATCAAAGGAGTAGAAACCTTCCTTGCCATCATTTGTCAGTTGTGTTTTGAAATGATTTAGAAATGAGGGATTAGATCCTGGTGGAATTCTTACAGGTTCCTTCTCTGCTCCCTTAGGTGATCTACAAGGATGATCTGAACTGGCTGAAAGGCATTGGCTGCTTTGTCTGGGACACTCCCGAAATCCTCCATGCCAAGCAAGCCTATGACCTCCGCAGTGATGTGAGTGGGTAACTCTGGGATTGCCTCTTAGTCTTCTTTTTCACTCCACTGTAGCTTTATTCCACTCCAGGTGTAGTCTGGAAAATGTTATTTATCCTTCTTGATTGAAGGATTCATTAAATAACAAGCCATAGTTGCAATATGCTTTCTGTTTCAATGCTGGTTTCACTAATAAAATAGCTCAGTGATGAAATAATTAGTAACTATAGTAAGTGTAATAATACAATAAATTAAATTAACAATTACTAGCATTAGTAATCAGAACTCTTGCATTCTCTCTGCAGATTAAGTACAAATCTAAGGCAGAAAAAATGAAGAAGGACTTCACTGTGGTCACAGACACTCCTGTCTATGTCCAGAATGTGCTCAGTGCCTTGAATTTAAGTGAAGTAAGTGTTTCTCTCACCTTGCAGCCAATATTCCAAATGCTGTTAGCTCACCAGCTTTAGAAATGGGACTTCTAATATTTATTTAATAATTTAATTTTAATCATTGTTGGTTATCTACACCTCATTGTGGACACAATCACTAAAATCATTAATTGCCTGAAGCCAAAAAAACTTTAATCCATTTTTTTAGGAGCTGTTTCCACTGTATGCAAACAAAACACACTGTGAGAGAATGTGACAATTATGACTTTTTTCTCTTTCCCAGGCTGTCTATCGTGGTGATTACAGGCGGAATGTCCAAGGCAAGATGATCCCTACTGATAAAACAGTGGATTTGGAGCGGGCGTATAATGCCAACAAAATACAGAGTGAGGTAAATACAAAACTGTGGGCTCCACAGAGTTTGTGACCCTGGAAAACCAAATTGTCTGGTTTTAGCTTTCCAGGTGAAGCTGCATGTCACTGCTCTGGAATGAAAGTGGGAAAATATCCTCATTTGAGCTATAAAAATTCATTTTAATGCATTTTTTCCCCCAGACATGGGGGAAATCTTTTGCCAGTTGTTCGAGAGATTCCCAAGATTGAGGGATTTTCCCCTCAAATGTTGCTGACAGTTGCACAAAGTGTTTCTCTCTCCTCTTGCAGAATTTGTATCGCTGGGCTGGTGTGAATGCTCTGCCCACCGGGTACAGCCTTCCCACGGACACTCCGCACTTCCAGCACGCCAAACACGTCCAGCACATCGGCAGTGATGTGAGTCGGGGACTAAATCCTTCTGCACCACGGGAATGATCAGCAGCCCCACACAAGGGACTCTCAGCTTGGCCCTTTACTGCCCAAACACAAATTTCCTCAGCATTATGCAAATATTTTATTAGATGCAAGAAAAACTAATTTTGTTGTTAATTTTGGGCCGTGTGATAAGGGGTGAAATAATTATGATGTGTGGTGTATTTGACTCTGATAAAGCTACATCTCACTGGTTTATCTCTAAAAATCTGTCTCTTTATACAGCAGAAATTGCTGTCAGAGCTGCAGTGTAGCCAGAATCGTAATCAAATTTAATTTCTGTGTGCTTTTGTACTTCTTACAGCTGAAATATAAAGAAGCCTACGAACACATGAAAGCCAAGGGCTACACTCTGGGACCTAAAGATGTTGGCTTTGAAAGTGTGAGGAAAGTCAATCAAGTCATTAACGAGGTACAGTAAATACATGTATTTGCTTTCACTTGTATTTGCAGTGCCCAAAATATGCATAATGAGAGTGCATTGACTGGAAAGCTGTAGGATCCCTCTTCTTTCAGGCTTTTCAGAATAAAAGTTTATTTAGAGAAGTATCCATGAAGAACAGTGAGGGATCATGGATCCAGGCTGAAACTGTTACTATTTATATTTATATTTATATTTATATTTATATTTATATTTATATTTATATTCTTACTTATATATCTCTATATATTTTTATATGTATAAACATATATGTAATATATATACAATATTTTATATATTTTTATTTTTATTTTTATATATAAAATATATTTATATTTATATATTCAATTTATATATTTATATTTATTTATTTAATTTACTGTTTATATTACATTATATTTATAAACTAATATTTTATAGTATAAAATTTCAGCCTAATTTTATTAGCTGTGATTAAAGTTGAATAGAAGTCTTTGTATAAAACTGGGGCACAATAGTTTTAGGTTTTATATTTATTTGTTTTATATATACATTTACTCACTTCTTTGGTCATTGGCTTTAAGGGCATGAAAATGCTCTTAAATTAAATTAAATATGTGTATTTACATGTTGTTAGGATTAGAGTGTGAGATTTCCAGAATTTATTGAAAACTTAATGGAAAATCTTTGCCTGGGTAGAAAACAGCAATTTGTGCAGGAAGTGTTTACACTGTGCTGAACTTCTTTGCCATTTTAAGCTGTGCTAAAATGCAGAATGTTGTCTCTTGTCACAGAGGCTGTACAGGGCAACGTACCACAAAAACAAGGACAAGATTCACACCACCCCTGACACCCCCGAAATCCGCCAAGTCAGAGCCACCCAGGAGGCTGTCAGCGATGTAGGTGCCTTCCTAAGAGCACAACTGAAGAAAATGAGATTATTCCCTGAGCAAACACGTGAAAAGCTGTTTTGTTCCTTGCTTTTCAGCTGATCTACAAGTCGGATTTCTTCAAGATGCAGGGCCACCTGATCTCCCTGCCCTACACCCCTCACGTGCTGCACTGTCGCTACGTTGGGGACATCACCAGTGACGTAAGCTGCTCCTCACACACCTGCTGGGAGCTCCAAAACCTCTCTGCTGGCAGTGGGATTGGGGTTCTCTCACTTCCTTTCTATTCTCTAACCAAAAAAATGCTTTCTCGCTGTGTTTAAGGACAGATGATTGAAATTATCCCGAAAGTGGACTGTTGGTTTTGATTTCTCTCGTAGAATAAATACAAAGAGGACCTGAGGTGGTTGAAGGGCCTGGGTTGTTTCCTGTATGACACTCCTGACATGGTCCGTGCCCGCGAGCTCCGCAAGCTCTGGGTAAGACAATTCCTCTGGGAATTGGGCATGACAGCCATGGATTTATTTCTGTGCATGCAGGAAAGTGAGCAAAAAACGAGATAATTCCGTGCTGTGCAGCCAATTCGTTGTTTCAAAGCGCTGTCGGGTTGCAGTGTAAAATTTCCTTTATTCATACTGCTTTTCCTTTCCAGTCTAATTACATCTACACAAGTACTGCCAAGAAAATGTGGCCTAAAGTCCAGGTGGTGTTGGATACTCCTGGATACAGAGCAGTGCAGGAACTAAAAACCCATCTGAGTGAGGTAAATTCTGTTATTTCTGCACAATTTTGTAGCTGTAATAACCTCTCCCTGTGTTTTTTTACTGGAGTAGATGAGATGTTATAATTGCAAAGCTGTGATTGTGCAGCTTCTAAATAATAGCAGAAGAAATAATTCCTGGGCCTGTCTTTTTTCCAGCTGGTTTACAGAGCTGCAGGCAACGAGCTGAAGACAAAATACACTTCTGTCCTTGATACACCTGACTTCATAAGAGCCAAGACAGGACAAAAAATACAGAGCCAGGTGAAAAAACTGTGCTGATATAAAAATCGATCAGGGGATCCTTCTTAATGTATTGTTGAAGTACAGCAAAAGCTTTCCATCCCAAAGCAATGTAGAATTTCCTAGAAATTGGTGGTTATGTTTTTACAGCTGCTTTTCAGAGACATAAGGGAGGATTTACTAGAAGTGTGGGTTTTTTGATTATTTTCTTCTTGCTGCAGTACTTGTACGTGGAACTTGCCACAAAGGAGAGACCCCACCATCATGCTGATGGTCAGACTCAAGCCTTTACACACGCCAGGAATGTCAAGGACATGATCAGTGAGGTAAAATTTTGTTTTCTAATTTGGTGCCACTCTGCTGAACTCTTTAGAAGTTTTACTTCTCATTTTAGTGGTAATTTCAAGGCTCAAATATGTTTAGCCTTGTTTTTTTTCCTCTCTCTTGTGCTTAAGTTCTACATTTCCTTTGTTAGTTCTGGTAAAAGAAAACATTCTGAAAACACGTTTTAGGATTTTATAAGACAAGCTTTTCTCTGAGGATTAGCAAATGCCTCTAAAATTGCAATGATGACTCTTCCCTTTTGCTGTCTCTCTTAGAAAAAATACAAAACCCAGTATGAGAAGATGAAGGACAAGTACACCCCTGTCCCTGACACCCCAGTGCTGATCAGAGCCAAGAGAGCCTACCTGAATGCCAGTGATGTGAGTACTCCAGGAACAGCCCACTGCTGCTTTTCCTTGGATTCTCTATGGAAAAAAACAAGAAAAGGATCAGTAGGAAGCAAACATGCAAAGCATAGAATATCTCAGTGTCCCCCATCAGTAAATCCCCTTATTTTCATGTCCATTTCCATGTGAAATTAGGAACATTATTAAGTTTTGATTTGATTCCACTGCAATGGCTTTTTTTCTTTTCCAATTATTATAATTAATTTTTATTTCCCGTTGCACTGAAGTGTGGCACACATTATTTTAAATCTGCTTTAATTAAATAATTTAAAATAATTTAAATTTAGAATTTATTTAAAATAATTTGCTTACACATCAAATCTCCAAATTGAGCAGACTGGAGTGAAGTGACTGATGCTGGGGCCAGGATAGAATAACTTTTATCAGCTATTTCATCTCAGTTTTGTGTTAGAAATAAACTGCCCTGTCACTGGGAATGTGTTCATTTTTCAATTCAGAAGTAGAATAGAGAGAAAAAATTATCTGAGCTGCTGCACAGGAGGTTGTTAAGGTGAAATTGATTTTTTCAAGCCTGGAATAGTAATTTGTGATTTAAGGCAATTTTAAAATGCTCGTTTGTGAGAGCTTTTCCATATATTTCAGAACCAGCAGGATGTGAAAGGACATGTGCAGGGCTGGTGCTTTGTTCTAGGGTTTATTTAGTCTTACTGCTCTAAGAGTGATTTTTAAATGCTGCCAGGAGCATCCCAGCTCTTCTGCTCATGGGAATTCCTCCTCTGAGAAAGTCTTCCTCCCCAGACTGGGATGATCTTCCTGATTTCTTCTAGAGGAGGACAGGGAAGAAGTAATAAGTAGATTTTTATACCAGAAGTGGCACCTGTGCTGTACTACAGGAGAACCACTCCTGTGATGTTTTTTTCAGGGATGTTTTTTCCTCAGTCTGAAAGCCAATTGGGTGAAATTCTCTGTCATTTTCACCACAAGTCTCAGTGAAATTACAGCTGATTGTAGGCAATTGCAGCCTCCTAAAATTCCTCAGGGCTCACATTGTGATGTCAGACAGCAACATATCCCTGGATATCCTTCCTGAGAAGTGAGAAATGTAACTGAAACAATTCCTGGCACATTAATCCCTTCTTTTGTGTTTTTTTCCTCTTCCCAGCTGCGCTACAAAGAAACCTTTGAGAACACCAAGGGCAAATACCACACGGTGAAGGATGCTCTGAACATTGTGTACCACAGGAAGGTCACTGATGACATCAGCAGTGTATGTACATCTTCCTCATTCCTAATTAGTGTTTGACATTTAATAACCTAAAACAGGCCATTTAGCCTTTTGTTCCATTTCAGTATGTCAAATAATTAGGAAAAGATCAGCATTATTAGTGTTGATTTCTTTCTTTGGAATATTGATTGCTGTTGATGTTACAAGTTAATCTCATTTCCACTCTTTTAGTTCTGATGTTTCAGGGGAGGAAAAAAAAGGGAATTTTGTGTGGACTGGAGTGTTCTCTTCATTGGTTTTACTTAATTCTTCAATTTTCTCTGTAGGTCAAATATAAGGAAAATTACATGAGCCAGTTGGGAATCTGGAGATCCATCCCAGACCGCCCCGAGCACTTCCACCACCGCCTGGTGACGGATGCCATCAGCGATGTGAGTCCAAACAGCTCCTGCATGGCACAGGCTGAAAGTTAAAAGTGCTTTCCAAAATGAACCCAAACCTTCTTTCTCAACAAAGGGAAAGCAGCTGAAATTTTTCAGTGAGTTACAATTTGCCCTGGCAGATCTGGGAACTGACAGAATCTGATGGCTAAAATTGCAGCCCTTGCCAAATTAACAGACAATTTTAATTCATTTCAGATTTAATTAACTCTGGAATTGTACATTTATGTACATACACAATAACTCCTTAACTGTACAGGATTATTTTTAATTCACACAGGAACTCCAACAGCTCTTGAGAGATTATATGAGTGAATAAAACTCATCACAAAAATAGGAGAAACTTATTTTCTAATGGATGTAACTCTCTTTGCCACACCTTGTGCTGGGGTTCATTTCAGCACTGATTATCTGCTTAAAACTGAGTCTTTTTTACTTCTTTTCTTCAGGTTAAATACAAGGAAGACCTGGAATGGCTCAAAGGCACTGGCTGCTATGTGTGGGATACTCCAAGTTTTGCCCTGGCAGAGAAGAATAAAGTGCTCTACAGTGGGGTGAGTGAAACACTCTGAATTGTTGCTGAATGTTTTTGGACATTTTGCTGTCAGTTTACAACATTTTGTTGTTGGTGGAAAAGTTAAACTCACAAATGCAAGAATTCCACCATTTATTTTTTTTTTTTTGCCACAAGTTCTCTCCAAAATCAAGTTTTCATTGCCTTACCCTTCCTGGGACTAACACGGGCTGGGTTTTGTGTGTTTGCTTTTCTTTGGCTCCAGTGTAAGTACAAGGAGGATTTTGAGAAGACCAAGTCCAAGTTCAAGTACGTGGCTGACTCTCCAATCAATGAACATTTTAAATATGCCACTCAGCTGATGGATGGGGTAAGTAAAGATTTCTGTAGCCTCAGGCTTAAGTAGCTGGTCTGTGAGTAAATACAGAGTTGAAGGTTGTCCTTCCTTACAGTCAGGCTTAAAGATGCTTTAAGACCAGCCTAGTCATGAAAGACAAGGCTGTTGTTTTTCTGAATATTAGGACAGAGCCCAGAAAGTGAAATCCCCACCCCTGTTCATTAATTTTTCATGGCAAAGGAACTTTTCCTTTGCTGACTTAAGTAATGCTGCTGCTACAGTAACCCTGAGTGTTGGTTTCCATCTCAAAAAGTGTCTGGAGAGAATTCCAATTTCTTTCCTAAAACACTGATAAAATCTTTATTGGTGTTAGGAAGACGGAGTTATGTCTGAAGTTGCCACAGCTCAATTTAATTTCAGTGATTTTGCCTGGATTTTTTCCACTCTACAACTCAACTGCTTCTTATTTTCCTCCTGCAGTGCTGAAGAAACAATTGACACAACCTAATAAGTGATGAACACCCCTGGGTTTAAAATTCAAATCACTCCTGGAGTTTGTAGGATTAGTGCTCTACACCCCAGGACAAATTCCATGGAAAACATCACATTCAGGGTGATTCCCATCAGCTTAGAACATCAAAATCTGATGCTTTCCATTAAAAAAAGCAGTTATTTAGGTTTATATCTTAAGATTTCATACTTCTTCACCATCCATTGTGTTATATCATTACCTGGCAGTAAGTTTATTACTGTCTTACCTGCTCTAGGTAAGAAAAGCTGTTTCACAACAAATTCCAGAATTTTTATGAAGATTGTTCAGCCTTATTATTGTTCATAGAACAAACAAGGAAAAAATGAATATCAGAAACATAAATGGGTAAAATTTTATCAGTGGGAGCTCCATATATTGAAATGAACTTGCCCAAATATTTTCTGTTATGTAAATGATGTTTTTTTAATAACAACTCATTGTGTTCTCTTTGGACTCAACTCAGGAATCAACAGCACAGAGTTGCTTCTGCAGTTACATTTCATGAAGAAAATAAGTCATAAAATTGCTTATTGAAGGGATGGAATAGAGACATCCTTAAACTTGTAGGCCTTCCAGAGGCAATTCAGAAATGCAGTTACCATTTGGAAACATTCTTCCTTTTTATTTTATTTTTATTTATTTGTTTTGGTTTGGTTTTTTGTTGGTTGGTTTTGGTTTTTCGTTTCAATTGGTTTCTTCGGGTTTTTTTTGGGGGGGATGTTTGGAGCTTTTTTGCTTTGTTTGTTTTTTGTTAATTTGTTTTTGTTGGGGTTTTTTGTTTGTTTTGGGTTTTTGGTTGGGGTTTTTTTTGTGATTTTGGGTTTTTTTTGGTGCTTGTTTGCTTTGGTTTTATTTTAAATTATTTTTCTCTTTTGGACGTGACCTTCAACCCCAGCCTTTAAAGACCTTAAACCAATGATCTCTCTGTACCTTAACTCTCTCTTGTTACACTGTATTGTGCTATTCTGAGCAGAAATTATATAAAGCAGCCTATGAGAAGCTCAAAGATAGGTACAGCGTTATTGTGGATGATCCCAGGAATCTGCTGGCCAAGTGGGGCAGCACTCTGAGCAGTCAGGTACTGTGGGGGCACCTGGAGCACTCCCAGCAGTGGCACAGCCCTGTGATATCGTCGTGTTTCTTCACTTGGTCACTCCATCTCCATCCTGCCACCCAAAAAGAGCCACTTTTTGTGTGAGCTGCCCTCTGTCCATCTGTCCTGTATGTACTTCTATTACTGTGCATCAATGGACATCAGGAATCCCATCCCTCTGGAAGCTGCTGGAGGGGTTTTAAAAAGTGCAGTCTCCAGCATTTATTTTTTATTACCTCTCTTTTCAGATCTTCTTATTCATTTCTAGATAAAGCTACAGGGACATATTTCCTCGAGCTCTAATTTACTCTCATCTCCCCCCCCAAAAAATTCATAATTTCCTTAATGAGTGCAGGAAAATCTGTTAATATTTCCTCCTGGCAGTGTTAAGTATTCAGATGTGAATTGTATGCACATGTGGATGAATACATACAGCACCTTGCCTAAATCTCTCCACTCTCCAAGTGCCTGGGATCTAGAGCTGTGTCATTGTTCATGTTGTTCATGAGTCTCTCTTGTCCTTGGTTGCCATTTGCATGGACAGAAAAGCTATAAATCCTTTGCCAAGATGCTCCTGCAGCACGGATGCAATGAAATTCTGAGGCCAGATATGCTGACAGCACTCTACAACACATACCTGTGGAGCCAGGTAACTGCAGAGCTGCTGCTCTAGGACACCTTGGGTACCCACTGTAGCTGCTTGGACTTGGCATATTCACTGCTCCCTCTATTCCCGTGGATTTTATACCCCAAAGCTTCCTCAATGTGCTTTGTGCTGCTGTGGTTAAATAAAGCAGAATATCTCAAACCATATTTGCTGTCACTTGGACGTCGCTCAGCTCGGGCTGAGTTTGTCCCCGTTTTCTCCTTCCATTATAAACAATTGGTATGGATTTCACATATTTGTATAAAAAAACCAATTGTCCATACATTTCAGATATTGGATGTTAGCTCTTCCTGGTATTTCCCTAACCCAGCTCTCATTCTGACACCATTTCTTGGCCTGGCCACCTTTGACTGATAACCCCAGTTCCTTAATTCAGGAAGAACACCATGGATTTGCCAGGGAGATTCCAACATTTCTCTCCCACTGTGTCCAGAATGGTGTCAGACACAGAACAGTTGTTTCTGCCCTGGAATCACAGCTGCTGGCAGTCAGCTCACCCTTTGCAGGGGAACAAATCATTCCTGATTGTGAACTGGAATATAAATGGTAGACTGGAAATGCAACAGTGGAAAACAGTTCTGTCCAAGGGAATTGTAATTCTTTGTTATTGCCTGTGCCGGTAGTAATGTTCTTCAGTAATAAATTACTGAAGGCCTTTCAGACATTTTTGTTCCATTTTTTTGTGGGTTTCTATTCTTTCCACTAAAAACTCCTTGCAGGTAACTTTGAGTATGTCTGAATTGAAAAAAAAAGAAGTTTTTAGCATGGTTTTTAGCTCACTTTGTGTTATCATTGATTCTTTGTTTACCATTTTTCATATTTTGTCTGTCGCTGTCCCATTTCAAACGCATGGTTTTATTTTCTGATAAAGGGTAGAACATGAAAATTCTTTTTTTAAAAAATGTACCCTAACCTTTTCCAGCTGCCTTGAGGCTGCCTACAATGAATTCCCATTCTTGGTGAACCTGTTCTCACTGAACTCTGTGAAAAAAGGTTTAGAAACCTGAGCAGGGCAAGGTGATCTTTACAAAAATCATTACCAAGGCACAAATCCTGCTGCCAAAGCCTTGAAAATATCCTGGTGTTGTGATATATTTGGTAATGCTGTGTGAGATGATTTACCTTTCTCTTCACTCTGATCACAAAATCCTTAAGGCTGGAAAAGACCTCCAAGATCACCAAGTCCAAGTTTCAACTGGATATGAATATTTCAAAATGAGATATTGTCCATTATGAAATTTAAAAGTCTCTGATCTGCAAGGATTGATTTTTTTAGCTCAGTCCTGGAGACTTTAGCTTGCAATAACCATAAAATTAATCAGACAAAGAAAGAGGCAGCCTCCTAGGCAAGGAAGGGGTTTGCAATTCAGCTCACTGTGCATGTTCTGCTTCCTCTGGCTTTGTGGGAGGGTTTGGCAATTTAATCTATGGATATAATCCCACCTCTGGAAGAGGTTTTGTCCTGCTCTGTGTGATTAACTCAGAGCCTTTCCCCATCTCCAGATTCAGTACAAGAAGGACTATGAGAAGAAGAAAGGCAAATACATCACAGTTCTGGATACTCCGGAATATTTACGGACCACAAAGGTCAACAAACAGATCAGTGACGTAAGTGTGGATCCTTTGGAAAGGGGATAACCACCCCCAGGGGATTTCCAGCTGACACCAAGGATTCCAAGAAATAATCCAACCCCCAATTTGTCCCTTCAGATTATTTACAAGCTGGAATACAACAAAGCCAAGCCCAAGGGCTACACCACCATCCAGGACACGCCGATGCTGCTGCACGTGCGCAAGGTCAAGGACAGGATCAGTGACGTGAGTAAATCCTCTGTGGCATCAAAAACACACCAAATTCACTTTCTAACTCTATAGCCAGTGTTTGTGACTCCTGTGTGACACTGTCTGTGGAAATCATCACCTTCTTAGACATATTGGCCTGTAAAACTCTATCTGCGTTCAGTGCTTTTCCAAAATCCACGTTTTCTGGAAGTTTCTTCTACCGTTTTCTTCTGGAGCTTTTGGAACATTTTTTTTGCTGGGACAAAAACCACCCCTCACTAGAAAGAAAATCCATGAGCTGGGAGTGGTGTCTAAATCATTAATTTGGAGAGGGTTTTTTTTTCCAGGTTTTTCTGCCTCTAGTGGCTTTTTTTTTTCAGACTTGAATAAAATATTTCATGTAAAATATGCATGTGTTTATTAATTTCTTATATGGATATAGTGAACTGGTAAAGTAAATATTCTGATCTAAAACAGATGTTTTTTGATTCTGGGGCAATAGAAAAGTAAGAAGGAGAGAGAAAGGAAGAGGGAGTGGATAGAATAATACAGAATTTAGGACTCCTGCTCCTAATTCCTTCTCCTACCCTTTCTCTCTGTCCTTTGTTTTGTTGTTCCTTAAATGAGGATACTGAAACTTCTGAAACTCAATTTTTGAGTTTCAGAATGAATGAAATTCAATGTCTGAATACTCAGAATAAGTAGCCTGAATGCCATCCAGATGCTTCACGGATTTCTACATAATTAGTAAATCCAGGAAGAAAGATAGTATTTTTTATCTAAAGTGGATCATTGAGACAGAGATGTGAATTCAAACACATTTTTTAAGTTCCAAACTGAGTGCTGAGATTCTCTGAAGGAGTTTTCAGTTGCTGTAACTATCAGAAAATAAGTTCCTTCTAAGGATTTCTTTTGGCTGCAAAAAATCAGAAATATTCAGAATTATTGGTCATGAATAGATTTTGTTTAACCTTAGTCTGTGCCTCGTGGTGAGTTAAAACTGCCACATTCTCTGTGTAAAGAGAATGCTGCTGGAGAGGACCCTCCTTCAGGCAGGTGCTTGATACCAATTTGTATCAATAGAATTTGTTTTCCATGGAATCCCAGAATTATTTAGGTTGGAAAAACCCTCCAAGACCATTAAATCCAAGATGTGCCCAACCCTCACCTCGTCACCAGCCCAGAGCCCTGAGTGCCACCTCCAGTCATTTTCTATTAAGATTTTATCCAGACAGGAGCAATTTTAATCAAGTTTTTCATATTTGGATGCTTTTCTTGTTGATGCTGATACGATCTTTGTAAACATTTTTACATCTTTGTCTTTCTTTAGCTGAAATACAAAGAAATGTATGAGAGGAGCAAATCTCGCTGCAACGTCGTGGCAGATTCAGTTCACATCAAAACTCCCAGACACGCCTACAAACTGAACAGCAACGTGAGTTCTGTCCTGTTCATGTTTTCATTTTATTCTGGAGGGTGCTGGGAACTGGCCAATTCCACAAGGAATTATTTCCACAAGGAATTATTCCACAAGAAATTAAATCCCAGTGAATTTCTTGGATATCGTTTTTAATCCTTACACCGCTGGAATAAAATGTGTTTTAGTTTATTTCATACTGAAGTGCTCACTCTGGTGACTTGTCCTGGAGGTTCTTGTATGTCACACACCCCATTCTTCCAGGTGTCCTCTGTTTTCCTGGCAGAGACACAACTCCCCAGGAATTCTGTGGGATGATGCTCTTGGAGACAAAGCAAAGCTTCATGGAAAACTTTCCTGTGTCTCCTGTTATTGGTGCCCAACACCTATTTCAGTAGGAAGGACCTGAAAACTCTCCCCTTCTCCAAAGTCAGGACATCATTTCTGCCCTTGTTCCTTTCTCCAGCTTCTTATTCCTTTCCCCACCCAGCAGTGGAAAACCTGCAAGGACAGGGCTGTGCCTAACCCAGAGAAAAGCCCTAATCTGGTGTAGATACATTTTCTTACCTCTTCTCATGAAGAGAGCTGGCCTCTGTTTGTCATGTGCAAAGTACCCAGTTTCCAATGAACTCTTCCTGTTTGGTTTTTCCCTGCACACAGCTGGATTATAAGAAGAAATACGAAGCAGCCAAAGCCCACTGGCACCTGATTGCTGACAGGCCTGACTTTGTGCAAGCAGCCAAGTCCTCTCTGCAGCAGAGCGATGTAAGAAAATCAGAATACACTGAATATTCCATTTCCCCATCTCTCCTATTCAGAATTTTTTAAAAATCTGAGAAGATCAGAGACTCTCTTACTTTATCTTTTGTTTTTTCTTCCTGCAGTACGAATACAAACTGGACCGGGAATTCCTCAAGGGGTGCAAGCTCTCTGTCACAGATGATAAAAACACAGTGTTGGCCCTAAATAATGCCATCCTGGCCAGTGATGTAAGCACTGAACTCACCTCTCCTCTACAAATTCTCTACTACCACTTCACTCACTCTTAACTGTTCTGTTGCAAACATAATTGGATTAACAACGAAGCTTTGAACAGTTGTTCTCAGTCTCACTTCATTATTTGATTTATTGCATTAACAAATTGACTGAATACATTTGAATACATTTGGTCTTGTAAAAGGCACTGGCCTAGTTCAGGGATTAAATTAATACTCAAAGTTAACATTTTCTGAACACCACTAGACCTTACACCTAGGTGTATCTCTGCATTCCTGATATTGGAATGGAAGTGTCTGGAGAAAATATCTGGCAATTGCACAAGATATATTTAATAATAGCACAGAATATCTTTAATAATTACTAACAATATGTTAACATTCAGTTTATTTAAAAAATTCCAAGTGAGAGCCATAAGAATGTACAGATTGGGCTGTAAAATATCAAAATATGGGCTTTTTCTTCATAGTTTTGCTCTAACAAGCAAACACAACTGTACTAATTAATTTTTATTCTGCCAGAAGACAAAATGCACATTATTTAAACTGATATCTTTCCTTCCCATGCTAGATAAAATACAAAGAGAAGCACAACAAAGCCCGTGGGACCTACCACGTCGTTCCAGACACCCCTCAGATCCTGCTGGCTAAGAACGTCAGCTCCCTGGTGTCTGAGGTAAACCATCCATTTATTGATTAATTTCATTCCATTCCATCCTGGAGCTGCTGGGTTTTACCTGCTTTTCCCCTGTACTGGCAGAACAAGTACAAAGAGCAGAGCAAGAAGCAGCTGCCCCATGGCTCCTTCACCACCCTGCCCGAGACCAGGGACACCGTGCACGTCAAGGAGGTGACCAAGAACGTCAGCGAGGTGAGTCCAGGCTCAGCTCATCACCCCCAAAACGGAGCTTTTCCAACCCAAACTCCAGAAGCTGCAGCCAACACATTTTGGGAATGAGGTGACTCCTCTTTATCCACCTTCAAGGAGCTTTTTCCCAAGTTTTTGCAGCATTTCCCTTTGGCTGACATTAAAAACTCATACGTGGTCTTGTTGCTCTTTCCAGACAAACTACAAGAAGAAGTTTGTGAAGGAGAAAGGCAAATCCAATTATTCTGTCATGCTGGAGCCTCCTGAGGTGAAACATGCCATGGAAGTTGCTAAAAAACAGAGCACAGTAAGTTTGCCTCTTTTTTTCCATTAATTTGGTAGTTTATGTAAGTAAATTCATCTGGAAAACCCCAAGTTTGTGGATCTCTGAATTTACTCCCAGCCTCCATATTCAGGTGTAATTCTGAAAGGTAAACATACATATTTGTATTATATGATGAAAGATAAAGATAAATACTTACAAATATAAAATTACACTGAAATAAGGGATTTGTATTTAAATCCCATTCTAGGATTTCAAGTAATCTGGTGGAAATCACATCTAATAATTTTTTTCAGACCTTCAGGCACAGGCAGAATTTCCCATATTTCTTTTTTATTTGCAGACAACTTGCAAAACCAGATTCCCAGATCCACGCCTTGTGAATTGATTTCCAAAACAAACCCATGCATCTTCTCAGAAATGTTGCTGTGTCCTTAATTGGTGTATTCCCAATGAATAAACCTCATTAATTTTCTTTCCTCTGTCTTTTTCCATGGATTAGATTGAATACAAGAAAGATGCCAAATCCAACCTCCACTACACACCTATAGCAGATCGACCAGATATTAAGAAAGCAACTCAGGCTGCCAAGTTAATCAGCAATGTGAGTGGTTTTAAGCCCTCTGTATAATCCTTTAGCACTAATTTAATTCCAAAATCCAGCAGAATAATTAAAAGTGGGTTTCCTCACTCCTAAAGGATTTATTTCTTTTATTAGATTGAATATAAGAAGCGTGGAGCAGCAGGTGTGGGTGTGACCATGCTGGGACGTCCAGACATTGAGCTGGCCAAGGAGGTGTCCAAACTGACCAGCCAGGTAAGGACAAAATGAAAACCTGGGGGGACTCAAAGCAGTGAGAGAAATGAGACATAAAGTTAATTTACAGAGTGATGTCATGATTATAGTTGGAATTATTTCCAAATTAGAGGAAAAGGGAAAGGAAGGGAATGTGGTGAAGTAAAAATTAAATATCTCTACAAAGTATTTGTTAAACTTTTCTGCTGTCATTAATGGAGATATAAAACCTTTCTAAGATGATGCTGTGACATAAATACTGAAGCTGAGGTGTTTGCCCTGTTCTTTTTTAGCTCTTTTGGGTATTGGCTTTTCCAGAACCAGCCTTTACCTGACTCTTATTTTCCATCCTTTGAACAGACACTTGGATTCTTTCAGCCCCTTTCTTTCTTCTTTGTATCTTTAAAATAATCTTGTGCCAGGACCTGGGTCCCTGTTGGTTCTTTCTCACCCCTTCATGTTTGAATTCTGGATTTTTTGCCTTTCTGACCTTGCTTTCTTGCTGCTGGTTGTAGGCAGAGTACCTCAAACAACACATGAGAGGCCACGGAGCTGCTTCCTATGACACCCCCTGGATGAGAACCTTTAAGAAAGCAAATATGCTAAGTAGTCATGTAAGAGAATTTTAATTAACTGCCATTAATGCCATTGTTGTGCATCTGTCTCTTGCTGGAATAATTATCTTGCAATTCTGCAGCACCATGTGAAGCTTTAAATGTCATTCTGCCCCTCATAACTGTTTTGGAACTTCTAGGTTTCTTTATGGAAGGTTTCAGTGCATTCACATAATGTGAAAACTCACCTTTTTCACCTAAAAACCTAAAATTTTAGCTGTTATTGTCCAAAAATGAAAAAAAAAAAAAAACCCAGGGAAATAGATATGTAAATAAATGTGTATGACCAACCTGAACAAAGATGCTGGCAATTTTCAGTGAGCAGTCACCAGAACTTAATTTTAACTCTTCAAACTTCTATTAAAACTTCCTTTAAACTTTAACTAAACAGTTTTATTGGCTGGGATTTCCTAATGGAAGAGCAGGCTCTGACTGCATCAGTCCCACTGAGAAGTGCAGCCTGTACTGGTTTGAGGGCTCATTGTTTCTTAGATATTTTTTTTCCCACATCAAATCCTTTGGAAAATAGAAACCCAGAGCCTGGATTGCCAATTTGGAAGTGGCAGCAGACAGGTCTGTGCTATTTCAGTTTTACACATGCATTTCCAAGTGAAAAGAAGGGATTTTGTTTTTCCATGTCTGGCTGTGTCTGCTGCCACGTTTGGATATTGGAATGTTCACCACGGTGTCTGCAGGAAAACCAAGGATCTCCTCAGGAGAACCAAGGATTCTAAACTGATCTACAAGAAAAAGAAGTTATGTTTATTCCCATTCAGTGATGAGATCCTGGTTTTCCATTCTTTTTCCACTCTTGGTCTTTTAAACATTCTTTGCTGAGATGATTTTGGTTCTGAGGGAAAATCAGCTGCAGGGATCAAAGAATGGTTGAAAAAATGGTTGTAAAGAAAATCATCTTTACATCTTAACAGTTGTTTTTTGTCTTGGACATCTCTTCTCATAAACTTTGTAAAGCATCATGTCCACCCTGTTTATCCAGTTGAGTTTTTTGGTTGGAGTTTGTCTGTCTGGCTTGCTTGCTTGCTTTTAGTTTTGCATTGATCTCCCAGCAACTCTTCTTTTGGGTTTAAAAAACTCTCATTCCTGTCAATATTCCTGCCAATAACTCTCATTCCTGTCAGTATTCCTGTCAATAACTCTCATTCCTGTCAATGTTCCTGCCAATAACTCTCATTCCTGTTGATATTCCTGTCAATAACTCTCATGCCTGTCGATATTCCTGTCAATATTCCTGTTAATAACTCTCATTCCTGTCAATAACTCTCATTCCTGTCAATATTCCTGTCAATATCTCTCATTCTTGTCAGTATTCCTGCCAATAACTCTCATTCCTATCGATATTCCTGTCAATAACTCTCATTCCTATCGATATTCCTGTCAATAACTCTCATTCCTGTCAATATTCCTGTCAATATCTCTCATTCCTGTCGATATTCCTGTTGTGCCTCCAGGCTGGATCTGCTGGATTCTGATGGCTCTCATTGCTGTGTTTGACCTGGCTGAAGCTGATGTGGCTTAGAAGTGCTATTAAAACTCTTGTAGAATCTAATTAATTGTTTATCATTAGTAATTAATTGTGTCACTGCTCTCTTTGTGACATCAATGTCCTCCTTTAATCCAGACTGAGCACGCTGTGTGCATAACAATGGGTAGAAAAGTATTTGATGTGTTGACATCTTCAGTGCTCTGAAGTCCCCAGGTTTTTAAAGCTCTTATTTCTGCAAGAAGTGTATAAACATTTCTTCTAAACACTCTTTCATACACTCTTATATTAT